TCTAATGATAATGCGAGAGAACCAGTTCCAGCTGTTTTTATTTTGTTGATTGCCAATTAGCTACAATAACAAAATATTATGAATGGGCAAATAACCAAAACTATTGTTCAATATTAGTTATAGAAAGATAATCATATAATTGCTTTCAAGCTGTGCTTGTTAATGCACAAAATATGGACATAGTTTCTTTCTCTGGTGCTCCCTATACAGAGAATCAGCCAATAAGCCGGCAGCAGTCTTGTTTTATAAAATATGAATATTACGTTTGAGCTATCTTGAATTGGAATTATGACTGGTCAGAATGTTGATACAGATATCTTAAATTACCATTCCTGATAGTCAAAATGTAGTTGTTCATGGTATAACACATTTTTAGATATCTAGAATGCAATTACAGATAGTAAGACTAAACCGATTATATGCTAAAATAGCTTGCCATACAACTGTGTACATTCTCCACTGTATGTTTCCTGGTCTTTTATTTTTTTATTTTTTTAAGTGGGCGGCTTCTCATTATGAGAACTAGACAAATAGCTAAAGAGCTGAATTCCTTCATGTTTCCTGGTCAACACTTCCTCCTCATGAATAACGGAGTCTGTTACCATGGCTACGACTTTGTTTACATTCGGCGGCCCGGCTCGCACCAAGTGAAGGGCTGTGATAAAACCGTYCGTAAGGGGGATAAACTCCGAACCAGTGCGTCTCCTGGTTGGCCAGAGGTGTTGGGTATGTGGACCACGAAGTTCAGAGAGAGGTAAAAAGTTCCCCAAGACGGAAAACGGAGCGTGCCAAACAACACTGGAGACAAGCTGACCGGCGGTGTCCTGCAGGTGAGAATCACTGAGGTTTATCAGCTCTGAATACATTTTCAGGTTCTAGTCACTGCTTTTTAATGTGAACTTAACCTTTCCGGGGGGGAAAAACACACTTCATATTGGGTAAAGGTGAGAAATAATGTTTATCAGTGTGTGTGTGTGTGTGTGTGTGTGAGTGGAGGGGGGGCTGTTTTTGGTGACATTTGGGGGCAATTTTAAAGGTATTATATCATGCTTTTAAATCCTTCTTTTTCACATCTAAATCATTCACTTATGGTCTATTTAAAATAAAACTGCAACACTTTGGTCTTAATTCCTCGTTTTTGTTGCTCCACAGACTCCTTGTATCATGAGTGGAGTTTTTTGTGTGTTTTTCTTCCTGATTGGTTCCTGCGTTTAATTGCACCACCTGCGTGC